CAAATGTGTTGCTTGAGATCTGTGGACTGGGAAACAAAATACTGACAACAATATCAATCGAACAACTGGTCTGCTTGAAGCATATCTGAGAACCTAGTAAGTACTACCACACTACAGAAGGCACTAGGTTTGTAAACATGAACGAGACAGAGAGTCCTATCTTGGACTCCTACATTAAACCTCACCCACCCAGGGCTCAGGGGGCATGTGAAAGAGGGGGTCAGAAAGACTGTAAGAGTCAGGCTGGTGGATGCAGTTTTCAGGTAATCAAGAAAACCTTGATTTTTTTTTCATATAGTTTAGGGAACTTACTCATATGAACTTACAGCAATGGTGACAGCACACACAGACTCAAACCAGACAAAAAACCAGCACAAATTGGGGAAATGGGTAAGAAGCTCCAACTTTAGCAGAGGAACTATTGGCAGAACACTGCTGGGTGAGGGAGAGACCGTCTTCTTTAAGGGAGTGGTGCTAGATAGGGTGACCAGGATCCAGTGGATGAACTCACATAGAGAGACATTTGGGGACACAAATTTGATTTGACAGGCCTTAAAATATATGACAGAATCCATGAAATCCACTGGCAGCAGGCAGGAGGCGGCCATGGAGGGTGCAGATGGGGGAGGTCCAAATATGATCAAGATGGAGTATATGAACTGCACAAAAATTCTATAAAAAAATTAGAAAGAGTCCTATCTTGCTGGTGCTCAGACCTACAGAGATTATGGTGAAAATGGGTGAAAAATAAATTACAATACAGAGTAATACACTCAATTTTGGCAAAGCAGAAGGATTTGGGAAATCAAGAAAGGTTTCATGGAGAAAATGACACCAGAGAAAAGTTCCAAGTTTACCGAGCAACAGAAAAGTGATCCTTAAAATCCACCACCCCCCCACAAACAAGCACCTACAGAAAACTGAAAACTTTCAAGGTTTATGGGGCAAATATATTCAAGATAGCTAACTAAATCTAAATGGACTTAGATTCTGAGTTTGATCATATACAAAATAAAGACATGTCTAGCAAAGAAAACCTTGATTTTCTCATATAGTTCAGTTTTGCATTTCCATGCTGTATAAGCCATGGCACATACCAAAAAAAATGATGTGCACCATTTTATTACTTTATAATGCATCATCCCTTCCCTATGAGTTATATATTAAATATCTGCATCTTTATTTCAAAAAAAAGCTGTCAGAAAACATAGTAAGGATTCTATTTCTAGGTCATCCCTAATATAAATGAGTAAGATGCATCAGTATGATTTGTCCTAAGAGTTGAATTTTAAAGTAGAAACCAGAAGATACCAAACAGTACAACTACAGACACAAGAAAAAAATTAATACTGCTTAAACTGAAAAGAGTTCAATAAACTGAGCCAAGGTAAAAACTATTTTTTAAGAAATTTAGACTTTAAGGTCGTTTTTCTTCTAGTTCTTTTCAAACAACAGATATCAATTTTAGCATAGCCTTTTCTCATACTGAGTACATATTACAATGAAATTTGATGCCTTTGAGCATCAAAGGCAGATATCATGCTTGGCCAGGAAGAACAATCACCTACATCGACAAGACCCAGTTCTATCACTGCACCAGATCTTTTGACCCATTAAGCTACACAATTCCATTCAAATATTATAGTACAACTCATACAGATTCTACCTCTAAAACTGCCTGACTTGGTACCTTGGTTTTTTCCTGCTGCTGTGTTACAAAATCCACAGATGTCCAGGTAACAAAAGCGTAAATATTTAGCAGTATCTTTTCCAAAGATTATCACTATCCACCTAAGTTTTTCTCTAATGTTTATTTGAGCAAACAAAAGTATGCTTTTAAACATGTGATACTAGAATGAACTTTCTACAGTGAAATTTTAAAGTTTTGCTACATGCATTTATTTGTATATGTATATGTGTGGGCATGTGCATGCCTCAGCATACCTGCGGAGGTCAGAGGACAACTTAGGGGACTGGGTTCTCTGGTTCCACCATGTGGATCTCAGGGATTGAACTAAAGTTATCTCACCCACCTGAAAGCTAAAATTTCTAATAAAAAACAAACAAACAAAAAAACTATAACATCACTTCAAAAAAGCAAAAAATTATGAACTGTTATTTTTACTGATTTATTAACACTCATTTCATACGCACACATGAAGGACAAATTTTGTTCTTCTACATCAGAAAAACTTTATGAAACAATATGTCACTACAAAACAAAACTATACTCTCCCATGGAATGTGAAAATTCTATAATGGTCAATCAATGCATAAGCACTGCTAACTCCAGCATCTACTGAAGAAATACAATCCAGAATTAGGTTGCCAGTACTTCTAAGGAAATCTACTAATTTGAAATTTATTTACTTTTGAAGTTTTAACTAAATTGTAAGGCATTTCTGGAAAAACAAAATTAAACATCCAAAGTTAAAAAGTGAAAACAGAGAAAATGATTTTCAGGGCGGCATGTCATCAGGAGTGTTATTTCATCTTCAACATCAGCTACTTCTGGGATGATAGGGATACAAATCACATGATTTTTCTATCATAAATAGTGATTTTAAAGTATTGCAGAAACTGAATTAAATTTTTTTTTAAATTTTATGTGTATGAGTGTATTGCCCGCAAGTATGTGAGTGCACCAGTGTCATGCAATGCCTCTAAGGTCAGAAGAGGGCTTCAGATTCCCCTGGAACTGGAGTTAAGGACAGTTCTTAGCCACCATGTGGGTGCTGGGAATTGAACCCAGGTCCTCTGCAAGAGCAGACTATACTCTTAACCACTGAGCCATCTCTCCAGTCCCAGAAACTGAAATTTTTTTAAAGCTGCATTTATTGTTTTGTTAGGGGAGCTGGCAATTTTCAGTCTCTAAGATTAGGCTAGGTTGCAGATACTGTAAAATTAGAACAAAAGTGTTCTGACAACACATGCAGTCTACACACTGACTTATTTGTATTAATAAATCTAATTAACTGGAATGCAAGAAATGTGAAATACATTTTTCTCCTCTCTTGTCTAGGAAAAAAACTATTTGCAAAGATGTCAGGGAAAAAAAGAATGAAAAAAAAGACCACTTTAAAATTAATCAAGGCTCATGCAAAGTCAACAAAGGTGGAGAGTGCAAGAAATTCTGTCTTTCAGTGCATTTTGAACTTTTCCTTTGGATTTAAGACAACAAAAGAATTACAACACTAAAGGGGATGCCACATCTTTGTTAATGGTCTTGGCCCATTAAGAAACTTGTGAAACAGGATCTGAACATAGACAAATACATGAATATAGACCAGACATTTAGCCATTTCAGTGTATTTTTAATCAACCCTTTAAACCTGGGATAAAATTACCTTCCAAAATTACAAAAGATAAATTCACTGACATTTGGGAAAAAACTGTTGTAAAACATACCAAGCATCCCCAAACTCTGCATACACCTGGTAGGTAAGTATATACTATATATACTCCCACTATATAAATTATTTCCACTTAGGCTGTTTGGAAAGGCAACATCAATGGTTGACACTTCTTATTCCAGAGCTCTAATAATCCCTACTATCAAAAACGACAGGAAATGTGTTCATCTTTGAACATTAGCTTCAAGTTCGGCCTCCCTTATGAAGAGATTTGGTTAACTTAGTATATATAGTACGTCCTACCATTTTGCCAGAATCTAAGGATCATATCACTGTATTTTACTAGAACTGTCCAGATGATTAAGAAAGGAGAATTCTCTAAGTATTTATGAAAAAGAAACAAAATACTTCGTTTTCCAGATGCTGAAAGGTGAAGATGTCTCCTAGGATTTGAAGGAAGTTAATGTTTAGGTTCCTTTCAAGAGAGTAGTACCGGTATGTAAGAGTTTTGTGGCAGTAATACTGCACTCATAGGGCCCAAAACAAATGCAAATCTTAAAACCTTAGAAATGCCTTTACAAAAGCAAACTACAATTAGCTTTCACTAAGAGCCTACAGCTACCTACGGTTATAAGCTTTCTCCTGGGCAAACAAGTACTTCAATTAAGAACTACCGGGCCTCTTTTAACGACTCATTTCTTCTGTGAAACTTTGAAGTCAGACCTAAGACAGCAAAAGGTAGGGAGGCCCCGGCGGAAGTTGAAACCAAGGGCTTGCAACTTCACAGACAAGCGTCTCGGGTACCTCCGCCGCCCCGGGACCATCCGGACTCGGTGCCTACACCACCAGGGATGCGTCCCTCTCCGGGTACGATGGCAGAAGCAGCATGGTAGTGGCTCTCCTCCACCCTCCACCTTGCAATGGCCTTTGGGATCTCAGGGCCTGGAGGCTCCCGAGGCCCGTTAGCCAGTCCGATGTCCCCATCTTACACAAACAAAAACACAAGTCGCGGGTGATGCGCGTGTACGGCGAGGATGGAAAGCCAGGGACCGGCAGCGGCTGGGAACGTGGCACGGCCGACCCGAGCGGCCTAGAACCCATCGGATGCCGCCGCTGCCGCCTTCTCTTCCACCCCAGGAAGCAGCGCGGCGGCAGCGGCTGCTCCGCACCGGCGAGAGCCCGGGACAGCGGAGTGCGGGCAAAGCCCCGCCGCGGCGACCGGAACCGGGCCTAGGCTCTGGAGCTGCTGCGGCGGCCCGAGTACAGCGACGCTTTACGTCCCGTCCACCCCGCCACACACCCCCCCCCTCCTCCAGCACCGCCAC